TTGATCCATCTTCCATGATCTAGTTCAAAAGAACTCAGTTCCCACATGGTCACCTCCCCAAAGGACACAGAGTTCTGTATGCGGCAGGATAGATTCCCCCTCAGAGAATTCACAGTCAAGAAGGGGAGGATTGGGCCAGCCCCGTGGCATAGCGGTTAAGTGCGCGTGCTCCGCTGCTGGCTGCCCGGGTTCGGATCCCGGGCGTGCACCAACGCACCGCTTGTCAGGCCATGCTGTGGCAGCATCCCATATAAAGTGGAGGAAGATGGGCACGGATGTTAGCCCAGGCCCAGTCTTCCTCAGCGAAAAAAAAACAAAAAAAAGAGGAGGACTGGCATGGATGTTAGGTCAGGGCTGATCTTCCTCACAAAAAAAGGAAAAAAGATGGGGAGCCACAGACAATGGTAAGGCAGTATAAGAAATCCCAGGGCCAGCCCTGGTGGCCTAATGGTTAAGTTCGGCACGCTCCTCTTCAGCAGCCCAGGTTCAGTTCCCGGGCACAGACCTACACCACTCATCTGTCAGCGGCCATGCTGTGGCAGCTCACATACAAAATTGAGGAAGATTGGCAACAGATGTTAGCTCAGGGCAAGTCTCCCTCAGCAAAAAAAAAAAAAAAAAAAAAAATCTTAACACCCAGAATTAGGATTAAGAGCTGCCCACTAATTCCAAAATCCATCCAAACCCATCATAAAGATGATGAGAAGGGAGGACGAGAACTTACTTGGAGAAGAGCATCCAGAGCGGAGGCCCTGTTTTCTTTCATTGTGAGAAATGACCAAGTTCAGGCCCAAACCTAAATACTAGTCAAGCTTATACACAGGGTCCAGACATTTTTGAGTCAGACACTTAGAAACCTGCCATCACCTCACCAAGTCCAGACAAAACCTCCAAGTAAATGAAGTTCTTGTTCCATCTGAAGCTTCATTCCTTCCATGTATCCAACGCTTTCTGTGCTGACGCCTTACAATTAACTTCCTGGGCACAGCCTCTTCCTTTCCCAAAGGTCCCCTCCTCAAAAATGGTCGCTATCTTCCCAGCTCCACCTCTCCTTCCGTTGAAGCTCCCTTTTACTGAGTCGCATCAGTAAGGGACAGCAAGAATAAAAGCTGCTTAAGCAACGTGAAGATACAGCTTTTGAATTCCTAAGGAGAAACGCAGTCATGGGGTGGAAGGTGGGGGCGAGAAGAACTCCAGTGTTATCTCCCTCCTCTTACCCTAGAGCAGGAGAACCAACAGCATCTTGTAGGGAGCACTGTGCCCCCCACAGGTCTCAGTAAAAAATAAAGATAGTAAGAGTTCCATCCAACGAAGAATAAAATGGCGAACAGCCCTCCTAAAGACTGTAAATGTCACATGAATGACACAACCAGTGGGTGCTGAAAAATACGCAGAGAAGAAAAATACTGATTTTGCAATGTCAAGAGACCTACTATAAAGAACAGCCTAGAATTGTTAATTCATAGGCCAGTGAAGCATGGGAGCCAGGAACTTGCCTGGTCAAGATGGACCATAGTCAAGACCTGGGGAAAAGGATTTTTCTAATCGTGGAATGTTCTTTACTTTGTAATATTGATAACCTTGACTTCGTGTTTCGTTTTTACTATTTTGCAATGGTTCCTGCTGTTCAGACCTCAAGAGTGGTGCTCACTCTATCCTTGTGTTCCCCAGCTCCCGTGTCAGCAAGCCTGTCGACCTTAGTTAGATAGAGCCACCAGCCAGAATTCACTCTCACCTTGACCTTGCGTTTACGGAATTCCTCCTTTTGGTCTTGAGTCATTTCCTGCCTCAACTATAGCAATTTCTGGTTTTATATTCTTCTTGAACATCGAATCATAAACTCTAGATGTGCTCAGGACAGTCAACCTCTGCATTTTTAACTCCCACACTACACTAATGAGGTATCTACACCTTTTTTTTTACCCATTGCTGAGCTTGAACCAAATTACTGATTCCTCTGTCATTCTTTTAAGGGACTGCACTCTGGTGCACGCACTGGCTCCATTAACTTTCCGCAGCCACTTGGTGAGTATGTCTCCAAAGGAAGGAGTGGCAGCTGGGGGCCATCTCTGGAAACTGGGGGCCTCTTCCCTTGGGACTGTGAATCATCTTCCTTCTCAATCTCAACTTTAAAACTTTCCTTTTCCTCTGCACATCAGAAATTTCTTAATAGAATGCCTGCCGGGCTGTGTAATAGTCTCCAAAGGGAAGTGATGAAGGTTTTGGCTTGAATCATTGAACTAGAGTTGGAAAAGTAATCTACAGTAATGCACCATAGGGAGAAGTCTATGGGCTACAGATGATCTAGGAAGTTCTATTTTTCTAACTACCCATTTTTATTTTATTTTACAAAGACATTTCTCTGAAAGCATTTATTCTGAATGCATGGTGGGGATTAAAACTAATTTATTCAGGGGTCTGACCCTTTTAGAATGAATGCTCTATAAGATTTTAATTAAAATGTCCAGTAAAGAATCCACAGAGAATAAAATAGAAGATGCTATAAATTATTCCCATTTTCTCCATACCCTCTTTTACTTTCATTCCTAACCCTCAGCAATCCAGTACGGAGTGATTTCTGACTCCCCAAATCTTGCATCATAGCTAAGACGCCTCCAAGACCAAGGGAGTAAAGTGGTACCAGGAGGCGTCTCAAGCAGAGGCTAATATTTTTATCCAGAAATCTCTATCACCTTCCTTCCCTAACATAGTCCTTATGGAATACTATGATTTATCTCCCTCTTACTGGATTTGAAGGATTGAGGGCAGAGAATTCAAAGGCTGACCCCAAGGCTTACGGATATCACCACCAACATTCTTTTGGGGCCATGTGGCCCCATCCCCCCAAAACCCTTTGCCAGAGACCCTGAACGCCAACCCCCCAGCTTATCGGACCCACCCTAGAAGTCAGTTCAAGAAATCTAGCACCAAAGGGACTTTGATCTGTGTTGAGCTAAGGCTTTTTTCTCTACTCCCTCTGCCAACTCTGTCTTGGGTAGTGGCTGAGAATGGGGATGGGGAAGGCAAAGACGTGTTGTCCTCCTTGGAAGACTAATTCAATTCCAGCACTTCAGAACAAAGATGTGAAGCATCCTTAGGTCTCCATTTCCTCACAGCTCACCTCCACCCTCTCCTCACCTTCCTCAAAAAAATATATAATGGTAATAAGGGTGAGCAGAAGAAGAGAGAAAAGCCATACGCACTGGGCTGAGGCCTTATTTGGGTGGGAAGATGGGACCCAATGCAATTTTTTCCCTTTCCCAAGTCCACGTCATTCTTCATCTCGTATGACCTAACAAGAAATGCTGGACTTTCACCCAGGAAACTGACTGCACTTCCCTCTATCTTGGTCTCTCCTGTGACTCCCTAAGCACTTGGGAGAGGAATGAGGAATGTCTTCCTCATCCCTAGCGGAACCCACCCACACCCAATAAACACAGGTGTCCGTGCTGCAATGGTCAGGTCCTTACTGAGGCTCACTGCTTATCTATCTTCTCAATTTTCCCTTTCCCGCTGCTCAAGGTGTTGGCCGTGCCAAGTGCTACAACTGGAGAAAGTTCTGATCTCTATACTTTCCTCCTTTTCCCAACAGCTGCTCCCCTGTAGAGAGCAGGTAAAGCACTCACTGTATCTGTTTCCCAGGGCTGCTGTATCAAAGCACCAAAAACTGCGTGGCTCAAAACAGAAATTTATTGTCTCACAGTGCTAGAGGCCAGAAGTCCATAACCAAGGTTTCAGCAGGGCCATGCTCCCTCTGAAACCTGCAGGGGACTCCTTCCTTGCCTCTTGCTAGCTCGTGATGGTTTGCCAGCAATCTTTGGCATTCCTTGGCTTGTAGATGCATTCCTCCAACCCTCCGTCTTCATACAGTTCTCCCTGTGTGTCTTCACACTGTCTCCCCTCTGTGTGTGTGTGTGTCTGTGTCCCGATGTCCCCACAATGGATTAGGGCCCACTCTAACAACCTCATCTTAACTTGATTAAACCTACAGAGATCCTATGTCCAAATAATGTCGCATTCTGAGATACCGGAGGTTAAGACTTGAATATATCTTCTTTTGGAGGACACAATTCAACCCATAACACCACCTCACAGGGTTATTAGCACAATGTTTGGCACACAGGACATGACGAATAACTTATCAGCTGCTAACATTCATATTATTCTTACTATCACTGGGTCATCCAGTCTTTCCGCCCCATAGCATCTTTGCTAAAAAGACTTTATAAACAAGTCTTTATGGTACTCAAGTTTCAAAGAAGAATATTCCAACTATCACACAAAAATATAACCCCCAAACTCCTTAGGAAAAGAAATAATTCCAATGGTTGCCTGGGTAGTAAATTGTAGAACATTCTTTGTTCCCTCCGCTGAGCTCTGAAGCATCAAGAAAGCATGGAATGCAGAGCTGTAGGAATCAGTAAAGGAAGTCCCCCAAAGAATCTGCTGACAACTGAATTTCTCAGTTCCTTTGGTTTGCAGAAAAAAAAAAATTGATTCTACCCTACACACTCTCCCTACATTGCCAAAGAATATATGCTTATATTTTTCAAAATAAAAGTCCATAAAGGCCAATAGATACACATGGCATTAGAAAACCAGAAGCCCAAGAACCAATTAATTGACTGCTAATGGTTTGAAGAGTAGTGACTTAAATTTAAAGGAAAAAAAAGTGATCACTCTTAGTTTTAAAAGATATTTCAGTCTGACTGTACCCCTACTTGTGCACAGTGACTATCTGTCACAACATCTTCTGTGCTTTTCTCTGCATAAATAAAGCTTGTTTTGATTTGGACCTTCATGGGACAACAGAAGGTAGTGTCACCATCCCCACCCCCTAATCATTTTGCAAAGTTATTTTTCTAACAAAACAACGTCAACCTCATCAATCCTCACTGCCAACTTCATTGCATAATCCAGTACTTACTTATCTTGACCTAACTAGCAAATTCAAGACCCAAACCAAGCTTGCTTTGGCTTGTTCACTTGGTTTTTGGCTGATCTTCTGGCACCGTCTGTTAACCTAGTGCCTGTGAGCAACTCTTGCCCTGAATTTTCTTCCATATGTAAGAACTTGAAGCAGAACACCCTCAAACTTGTCTGCAAATAAGTCCACAGGTATATTAACAATAGGTTATGAAAAAATCTTGATTTTTTAAAAAAAAATTGAACCTAATATTATAAAACCAAACTGTTTACAGCTTGAAAAACTTTTGGGCTGACAACAGAAGAGTTTGCCTTTCCCAGTGTTGTGGAAGTAGGCCTTCCTGTTTCCCACAATAGAAGAACAAACTAGAAGTCAAGAGAACTAAAGTCGTGCTGTTCTAGAATTTGTGGCAAGCTGGTGGCAACAAGACACCAGACATTTGTGCTTCTCTCTGCCTCTTTGGAAGAGGTGAGCTTGCAAAGTCTTGAGTGTATCCCACACTGACCCAGACATGACATCCAAGACCCCAGAGAGCAGGCATCCTGGGTGGAAAATGGGAAACCCCAGATTACAGGTCACTTTCTGGCTTTGCCCCCAAACTCTGCTCAAAGAATAGCAGAGTCCACATCCATCTGGGTCTGGTCTACTTCAGACCAAACATTTGCAAAGATACAACCTCAGTGTTTCACCGATAACACAGATGAACTTGGAAGCCTAAAATTTGCAAAAGCCAAAACCAACCAGCAGTTGTTGAATTATGAGTATTAAAATGCGGGTAATGAAGCGTCAGTGTGTTTGAAATGGAAACCAGGAACCCTAGATTACTCATCTGGCAAAAGAACGGTGGCTGCCAACAAGACGGGTTCCTGGTAGCTACAAGAGCATTAAACCAGTCAATGTATGTAAAGACACGCCATGAAGTGCAAGGGATTATACCAATGTGAATATTATCATCTAATCTCTAGGGCAGAGCTTCATAAGAGTACGGGATGTGACATGCTAAAAATCTCTTGATGTTTAAGGAGTGTATCAGTTCTGTTTGTCTCCCCTCCCAGTTTCTATGGAAGTTCTTCCATCATGGAAGGCATCCTGCCTGCTAAAGACACAGGCTCTGGAATGCGCAGCCCTTCAGCGACGTGACAGGCTGAAGAGTTCTTTGATACAGAATGTGGGGGTTACCACCTGACATTCTGTTCTGTTGAAACAGCACAGAGTTCTTTGCTAACGCTCAGGTTACATCACATAGATTTTACTGTATCTTTCATGTATCATTTATGAATCATTTGGCACCTATTTACTTTAATGCTCATCACATAGCCTCAATTTCGTAATATCCTAATCAAGGCAAATCACTACCATGCACCAGTGTTATGAGGGGCTTTCATTCAGTTACCACCTGGACGCCACATGTTACGTAGTAGGAGCAACATGCTGCAGAGAGCAGTAATGACCTTGCCCCAGTAGACCGTGTGATAACGCTACCCTCTTGCGGAAAGTTTTCAATAAAACTGTAATTCACGGTAAGATGCTTTAAAAATGAGATGTTTTATCTTTCCAGCATAAAACGTTCATGGTCTTTACAGACTGTCCCAAAGATTTCAAATTCCTTCAGGTTTTCTTTAGATGCATAATAAAGTTACCCAAAAATAAAAATGTATGTAAGTGGCAAATTTATTCATTACAAGCCTACTATTAATTCTTCCTCAAACCACAATGGATCCCGTTTTCTACCATACTCACATTGAAATGTGTTTGCAGGCTGCTTTGGGCTCTGTGGACACTAACACGTGATACTCTATTTATAAATTCTTGATTGGAGACCGAAGACTCCTAATTAAGATGCAAAGATCCAAAATGAATGATTGGGCCGGCCCCGTGGCTTAGCGGTTAAGTGCGCGCGCTCCGCTGCTGGCGGCCCGGGTTCGATCCTGGGCGCGCACCGCCGCACCGCTTCTCTGGCCATGCTGAGGCCGCGTCCCACATACAGCAACTAGAAGGATGTGCAGCTATGACCTACAACTATCTGCTGGGGCTTTGGGGGAAAAAATAAATAAATAAAATTATTTAAAAAAAAAAAATTAAAAAAAAAAAAAAAAATGAATGATTGATGACCCTGATAGAAACAGCAGTTAATTCAATAAAATCCTGGGAAAATATTTTATAAAAAAGTTTAAGATAATGAAAATAGATTTAGTACATTCACATGAGTCCAACACTCAAAAAATAAAATCATTAGTTAAGTGGATGCTTTCAATATTTTACATGTTTCTAATAAGTCAGCTATTAAAAAGATCTCATTATTGTGCTCCTTAGCCAAAGACAACTCAAAAACAGCAATCATCTGGACACCATTTAAACAGAAAGTATGTTTTCATTACAAATATCTCCTTGCCTCCAGAAAACCCTGCCTATTCACAAGTTTTATACACTCTTTCTTGAGTACAGAGAATATTTTACTTTGAAGCAATTTATGCATTTATTTTTAAATTGTGTATTTTAAAAAGGACACTTGACATAAATTAAATCAACAGTTAATGTCAATCCTAAATTGAACATGTGGAAATCAGATCACTCCTCCATTTAAAGGTGAAAGTGAAGGGAAATTAGTTCACATTCTAACTAAAGGAGGCTCGACTATTAACAGTTAACAATAACAAACATTTATGATCTGCTGACCATATGCCATTCAATTAATCTCACCAGACCCAATGATTCAGGTGGCTATCATCCTCATTTTACAGATGAGGAAACTGAGGCACAGATGGCTAAGGAACTGGCCCAGGTCATATGTCCACCAAATGACGCAGCCCAGACTTGAGCCAGAACAGTCTAAGCTACTTCCGTTGCTACCTACTCGACAAAACGACCTTTCACTTTTCTAAGAGATGTTTAATTAATTTTTTTTGTTTCTAAATGTTCTAATTCTGTCACTCTTCTCTTGTTTAAAACTTGAAAAAAAAATTGATATTACTTTTTTATTACAACTTCATTTTTTTAGAGTAGTTTAAGATTTACAGCAAAATTGAGAGGCAAGTACAGAGGTTTCCCATATATCCCCACCCCTACACCTGCATAGTCTCCTCCATTATCATATCCCCCCCCCTGTGATATTGTAATTTATAAGAAGAAATATACACTTGGTCTTCCTCTCAGTCCTGGCACTGGGCTCCTAAAACTCTTGGAGTGATAGGAATGTCTCTTGTCATTCATTAGACACCTGAGTTTATGCTAATGAGTGACTTGGGCGGTGGGAACCCTTGATAGCCTCGGGATGGGGCTGCTCACCAGAAAGACCAATGGTTAGAGGGTAGGATCTTTCAGTCTCAATTCTTCCCCCCACCTCTGGAGATTGAGTTCAATCACCAGTGGCCAATGATTTAATCGATCATGCCTATGTAATGAAGACACCATAAAAACCCAAAAGGACGGAGTTCAAGAGTTCCTGGGTTGGTGAACACGTGGAGATTTGGGGAGAGTGGCACCCCAGAGGGCATGGAAACTCCTTGCCCCTTCCCACATATCTTGCTCTCTGCATCTCTTCTATCTAGCTGTTCCTGAGTTACATCTCTTCATAATAAACAGGTAATCTAGTAAGTAAACTGGTTAATCTAGTAAATAAATTGGTTCTTTGAGTTCTGTGAGCCCCTCTAGCAAATTAATTCGAACCCAAGGAGTGGGTCATGGGAAATGTCTGATTTATAGCCAGTTGGTCAGAAGCACAGGTGACAACCTGGACTTGCGATTGGCATCTGAGCAGGGGCAGTCTTTTGGGACTAAGCCCTTAACCTGTGGGATCTGAACTATCTCCAGGTGAACAGTGTCAGAAGTGAGTTAAATTTGTAGGACACTGGGTCAGTGTCCGCTGAGAATTGGAGGATTGCTCGGTGGTGTTGAAAAAAACACATCATGTCCACCTGAGTGGTACATTTGTTGCAAATGATGAACCTACATTGACACATCTTAATCACCCAAAGTTCAAAGTTTGTATTACACTTCACTCTTGGTGTTGTACATTCTATGGACTTGGGCAAATTTATAATGACATGTATCTACCATTATAAAAATCCTCCATGTTCCACCTATTCATCCCCTCAACCCCTAGTAACCACTGATCTTTTCACGGTGTCTCCGTAGTTTTGCCTTTTTCAGAACGTCACATAGACAGCATCAGAAACCTTTTCAGATTGGCTTCTTTCACTTAGTCATATGCATTTAAGGTTCCTCCATCAAGCCTTTTGATGGCTTGATAGCTCATTTCTTGTTAGCGCTGAATAATACTCCATTGTCTGGATGTACCACAGTTTATCTATTCACCTACTGAAGGACATCTTGTGGCTTCCAAGTTTTGGCAATTATGAATAAAGCTGCTATAAACATCTGTGTGCAGGTTTTTGTGCGGACGTAAGTTTTCAACTCCCTTGGGTAAATACCAAAGAGCATGATTGCTGAGTATAGTAAGAGGATGTTTAGTTTTGTAAGAAATAGCCAAACTGTCTTCCAAAGTGGCTGTGCCATTTTGCATTCCCACCAGCAATAAAAGAGTTCCTGTTGCTCCACATCCTCACCAGCATTTGGTGTTATCAGTGTTCCAGATTTTGAATATTGTTATAGGTGTGTAGGGGTATCTTACTGTTGTTTTCATTTAAAAAGAATTTTTAACCCTGGGCATTTCCAAATAAGGACATTTGCAAAATAGTTAATGGCTGATTTTATAAGTAAGGTCTTTAAAATCCTCTGAAAATGGCTGTAAGCCTATAGGAAAGATACCTGTTCTTAAACTAGGATAGTCCTTTCTTCTACAAATAACTTAATATTGAAATACTCTTTTCTTTTGAGGAAGATTAGCACTGAGCTAATGTCCGTTGCCAATCCTCCTCTTTTTGCTGAGGAAGATTGGCCCTGAGCTAATTTCCACGCCCATCTTCCTCTATTTTACACATGCGACGCAGCCTCAGCACTGCTTGACAAGCGGGTGTGTAGGTCAGCACCCACAATCCCAACCCGCGAACCCCGGGCTGCCAAAGTGGAGCACGCAAACGTAACCGCTAGGCCACTGGGCCGGCCCCCTGTTCAATGGCATTTTTAGTTAAAATTATAATTATATGCATTTATTTTTCCTTCACTTTTAATTCCACTATTATCTGCATGCCAGGAAAGAGAATGAAGCCACCACCAGGTAGAGACTCATGGGGAGACACCCCGGACCTTCCTCACTCACTACCGGCTATAAAACCAAACCATCAATGGATGAAGCACCAAAACCAGCCATGAATCGACGCTGCATCACAGACCCCAAGGAGAGCTGTAATGGATCTCCATGGACACAGAGAACAATGGTCTAAAGAGCACCCATTATAAACACAGACGTAGTCACGTTTCCACCAATCTTCTTAAAAAGGTAAAAGACAATAGGAGATCCCTTCAGAAAGGAAAGAATGCCGATTACAGAGAGGAAAAACCATCTCATTATCAAGCTTTTGTCTTCTGAGTCTCACAGATACCACACTGCCTGGGTGCCCAGTCCCCGTGCTGGAGTCGTCTCTGTTACACGACTTGAAGTACGAGAAAAAATACAAAACAGGTTATCGCTGTGAAGGTCTGCTCTCATAAAGAATTAATGCTACCCAGTGAAACATATTATGGAACAAAAGAGGAACACTAGACAGCTGGCTAGGAGCAAAGCTCATGAGAAACAGACCCAGCATTTTCAGGTCTCATTACCAAAAGTAAATTAATAAATAAATGAGCCTACCACGGAAAAATGACAAATCCAAGTGGTCACAAAAATACATTTTTCCTCAAAATTAGTCTGAAGGTTTGGTTAATTCTTATAGTCTTAGTCTTAGGCTATACTCACTGGTATTAAATGGTATAGTTAATTCTTAGAGCCTTAGCCTCATCCATTTAAATTCACTATTTTGAGAACAATTTTATTTCTACTGTATGCTAAGAATGTGTGTAAACCATAGGTAAACACATTATATATCACAGCGGGATTATGATGGCTCAGGCTGAAGCAGAGAACACTCTTAAAAAGAACACATTAGATAAACTACTAGTGACGGGTTTTCCTCTTACATCCTTTGTAAATTTGAGCTACAGGTTTGCTTGTTAATCCATCTACAGGACTGAATATTTCCCTCTACTTCACTGTCCTCCGTCCTTTAGCTGTTAAAAGATGGAATTAAAGATCATTTAGCTATAGCACTATATGCATATTATTATAAATAATAATTCCCCTCTTTAAGGAACCACATCATTCACTGCAGTATAGACAGATAGGTAAACAGATCTGTGTACATATATATGGTCTAGATAGATATTTTTTCTTTAGAATGAAAAAAATCACAAAGACTACAACATTTCTAAAAATCTCTTGCATTAACCCAGTCTGCCCATAAGCTTAAAGGAATTACCAAAAAAAGCAGCATAGAGCAATCCTTCAGTACTTGTAGATACTCTGTAAAATATTGGGACTAATGGAAGCCAGATGACAGATAACTGATGTTTCATAAACTTATAGTCCAGGCTCTCATCTTCTCTTGCCTGGATCACTAAAAAAATCTTCCAAATTTATCGCCAACTCATCACCCACAATATTTTTCTTTCTTTTTTTTTTTGATGAGGAAGATTCGCTCTGAGCTAACATCTGTTGCCAATGGTCCTCTTTTTTTTTTTTTCCTTGAGGAAGATTAGCCCTGAGCTAACATCTGTGCCAATCTTCCTCTATTTTGTATGTGGAACTCCTCCACAGCATGACGGGTGGTGTAGGTCCGTGCCCAGGATCCGATCCTACGAACTCGGGCCACTGAAGCAGAGTGCACTGGACTTAACCACTGCGCCACAGGGCCGGCCCCAAAAGTTACTTTCCTAAAACACAGAAGTGATCATGTCACATAGCAGTTTAAAATTCTTCAACGGCTTCTCATTGGAGCCTACAGAATGATTCCAGCTACCTCAGCCCTCATGACCTGGTGCCCGCCTCAGTGCTCTGTGCTCTCCCATCTTTGTTCTGCTGGGCTCTGCCCAGAAGGCCCTTCCTCCATCTTTCTCCTTAACCCTCACTGACAAATGCCTCTCTGGGAAGACCTACTTACTGGCAGCGCCCTACAACAGTGGCATTTCTGGGAACTGGCCTCCCTTGCTCCCTGTGCGCACTGCTCTGCCACCTTAGGGTACTCTGCCCACCGCACTGTGGGACGGGGCATTTCCGAGAGGGAGGGTGGGGCTGCTGCTGTAAAACTACCCCTTTCTGGAAGCCAGGGGCATGTGTCACTAATACTTAGGCTCAACAGCTTAAACAAAAAGATTCACAACCAATAAATGTCTCAAGAAATATACGAAAGAATGAACTATAAAACTGCAACTAGGAGCTAATTTCAGGGAAATAACATGATCCAGATCCCAGCTCCTCTGTTTATTGATTCAGAACATGCTTGTACACCTCTCCACTGGAAAAGGGTGACAAACATTCTCCCTGGTCACAACAAGAGGACCAAGAAAGGTAAGTAAGTATGGGAAGTGCCCAGCACAGCACGGGAACTCAGCCCTTGTGAGCACGGCCTCCTTCCCCTCCCCGTGTAGCTGCTCTGTCATCAGAAGTTGGAGTAAAACGATGAAAAACAAGGATGTCAGTAATAAGCCAGGTGGAAGAGGGAGGCTTACAGGTAGAGAATGCAAATGAAGGCAGAACGGAGGACGACGAGGAGCAACAAGCCCACCACTTTAGCGCAGGGGTCTCTTCTGATGGCAAAAGAGTTAGCGACCCCAGCCAGAATTACCAGAGACTTAACTTTGTCTCTGGCAAAGAATTAAAACTCAGGAGGCCCGAGTGCTGGTCCCAACTCTGCTTCCTTGAGCCCTTCCCTTCCTCCTCTCTAAAGAGGGAATGGAAGGCTCATTTCCACCATCTCTTCAGTCCCTCCCACTACAGCATCCAGCAACCTCTCCACGTATAAAGCCATAAGGCTCTCGGTTGGCCGACTGGAACTTGAAAATTAAGATGGAGTCAGAATATCTGCAACTGGGGCTGACTCAAATGCCAAGACCTAAAATTAATTCAGTCATTAGCTGATGGGAAAACGTTAAGTCCCCACCCAAGGAATATGGAAATTCTCGCTTTCAAAAGAGTTTGCATTTTAAAAGCCCCCTAGAGATCAAGCTGGCATTTCCCCTCCCCCATACTTTGCCTAAAACTACAAAGCCAAGGAGGATCTTGTTCTTTTTTAAAAAAAAAGGACTTCAGTAAACAGCAAGACAATATGAACAACAGTTTTGTGGACTAAAACCTACCACAAACTTTTCTGTAGCTTGCAAAGGAATCAGAATAGAGGAAAGTCTAGAGTATCTCTATACAATGCATATTTTCTAAGCTTTGCTAGGAAATGGGTGTAAATTGTAGGAACAGAGGAAATTTAAGGTTTGGGGGAGGTGCGTCTTGCAGGATCCTGCAAACAATAGGCACTTACTCCCTCTCCCTCCCTTGCCGGTGAACAAATAGCTTTAAAAGTCTGGCTGTGCTTTAAGACGCCCTCAAATCCTAGAGGAAAAATTAAGAACCATCACAATTTACCAAATGGATAATTAGTGCTGAAAAAAATGATCTCCCACATCTAACTATATCTAACAACATTAGCAATTCCTACTCTTAAAAACAACGACCCTCCACCACCGGAAAAAAAAGAGCTGTTTTGTCTGTAGCCGAGGAGTAAAGATAAGAGTCAAATTCACAGGACTCTAACTCGTTTTTCACTTCTCAGTAGAAGTTGAGGCATGTCATCACGAACGGTGACATGCTTTGAAACCCCAGGCAGACCACATGCTGCAGAGTCAGAGAACAGAATAGCACTTTACACAAGAAGGCCGAAGTTTAATTGGTCAGGGTTTACAAACATTTCGCAATTTGCCATCGCCACTTCCAGTGGAAGTGCCAGGATTTTTGTTTGCATACGAAAATGCCCAAGTGGTAGCTTCAGGATGAGCAGAATTTATGAATGTCTTCATA